TTTTTTTCTTAGATGCTTATCTCTCCGGCAGCGTTTATTTTAACTTTCAAAAATACAAAAGCCGATTAATCATTACAATTTTTTCTGTCCCAAGATCATTCATCCTCATGTCACACTGAAACCGCCGTAAGGCTCAATACAACTTAAGTTCAGGAAAAGTGGCCAAAAAGCAAGGTTTTGTAAGTCGTTAACAGGGCAGAGTCTCAATGAAAAATCCTTGTTTTAAATTTAGCCATAGCTATTGTAGTTGTGTTCCCTCTTTGGCGGGAAATGCGAGATGTGACCACGTGACTAGTGCCAGTCTCAGGTGTAGAGAGTCGCGCTTGTGGTGAAATTTATATTGCACACAATTTTGATGACAAAGAAAGCTTTTGCCAGGCTTCTGCTTTTCCCACCACTGTACCTTTACATAGAAGGAACTCACAGGGAACCCAGGGGGAGAGCGAGAAGTTGCGAATAGCGAAACGCACGGAGAACTTGCGATGAAAGAGCTTTTAGAGCTGATGACGGTTTGTTCTGAGCCAGAATAATAATAATAAAAAAAGAAAATCAGATCTTTGATTAGCCTTACATGTTTATAAAATTTGTTTAAGTCCATTGTTGCCTCTTGCTTATCTTCACAAAGATTTGTGTTTATTTTGCTCTCTTTTGCACAAGGTGATCCACTCTTATTAAAGTCTTCGCATATTGCAGGTTACCAACTAATGAAAGGCCTTGTGCTTTGGGCTGCCTGTCACTTGATTAGAAACTTAAGAAATCCACTGCTAAAACAAACAAGTGTAAACAGGAGCGCATTTTCACTTCGGGAATTTTACAATTTGATCTGACTCGACTGGCCCGCTTTGACCGTTACTGACAAATAATTTCTGTGATTTGCACCTCGGAAAGTGTGTGTTACATGTTTATTTTAAATCGGCTCATTGCGGTCACTAGAGTTTTCTTATGTTAGGGTTGCATTTGGTATTATGGGACTTCAGTATTTACCAACCTTTATCAGTGAGGTTTCCTACTGACCAACAGATTGTCTCATACATTACCGAAATATTTACAGTACAGTATAAAACTTTAAAGTAACTCCAAAGCTCCTAGTTTCCTTTACGACGCGAACGCTAGTTGAGAAACTGCTTGACATGCGTAACAGCTTGATAGAATTCGTGTTATTTTCTCTTTCGTGTATCTATTGAACCTTGAGAGTGCAGTAAAACCATCATTTTCACAGATGTTGTTTCAGTCTAAGTCGTGTTTTATTTGTAGGCGTAAACTTTTGTAGACGCAAAAGAAAAAATGTGGACAATTTATTTATGGCTTAGCACCACTGTAATTTATTACCATCTGTTCTTTCTCCCCGCTTATATTTTAAATACAACTGTACGTCCCTTACGACAAAGCTCTTTTCATTAAATTAAGTTTCTAAATAAACTATTGCTGTAATTGAACTATCAACTCTTCCAATCTAAAATGACTATCCATTTATATCTTGAGTTTCACTCTTATCCAGGATCCTGGGGGGTAATGAGCAGGAATCCATTTGAAAAGGTTCATGAAATGTCATCCTCAGATACTCAGGGGCTGATAGTGGAGTCGGAAGAAAGTCAAACGGGCAAAAACGGTGCGAACGGAAGTTCACAGCAACGAGCAAAAACTTCTCAACTTTCGTTCATGTGTTGACCCAGAAATTATCCATATCTCCACCAAGGATGGTTATTTGGTTTGTACGCTCCCCCATCCCCCTTGAATTTTCAGCTAAGCTTCATACTTGCCCTTTAAAATTTGGTTATTAAGACCCCCCACCCCCTCGGAATTTCTTATGACCATCCTTAGTGTGGGTATGGATATTTTCTGAACCCGCACAATATAATTATGTTAATTAGCTCAATACATACCCCGTCTTTTTTATTTCAAAGTAACATAAATTGTGGCCTCAAGCGCATAACTATCTCCAGCTTAATATTATCATTTTCATTTTAGGTTAAAATATTATACTGATAAAAATTTTCCTTAAATATCCTTTACAAGATCTCACAAATTTGTTCTCCTTGTTGCAACATCTATTTCGTAAACACCACCAGTTTCCCCTTTCTAACTGTGCACAAAAAATTGTTTTGTATTATTCATAACACGGACTCTCTCAGTGTGATAGTAATATTAATTATAACATTGCATCTCTTAGTGTGACAGTGATGTCTAAAGACATTTCGTCCTTGTTGTCAATAGGTTGGCTGAACAACTGAGCGTGTTGCCAAGCAGTATCTCCATTTCCACCAGTGAGCGAAGCTGTGAGTTTGAAAGACTTGGAACCAGTGAGAAACGAGGTTGTTAACGATTCTTTCCCTGGAAATCAGAAACAACAGAGAGTTTGCAATGTAAGCTTCAAATGAAACAATCGCAGAAACAAGCTTTTTAGTGCTTTTAATTGCTGTTTTCTTAAAGGAGCCGCGTCACAGTTTGCGCATCTTAAAATGTTTAGCCTAATTTTTTCAGCTTCGTCGTTTGTAATCCGTGTTAATTTTCTCCATCCTAAACCATCCTTGTTCCTTTATGGCTTACTGTTATCTCTTAGGTGTGTTTCTATCTTAGTAAACTACTATTTTCAGGTTACCTTCAATTTAAGGGCAACTTTGCACGTGGCCAAAATAACTCAAAATAACCTACGACAGAGCTCCTTTATAAAGTCTTTATTAGTCACTCGACAGCTTGTAGCATGTGTACATACACAGGCTGGACAGTTTGTTGAACTGCAATCACAGCTAGGAACTTTACCTCTCTTCAATCAACTTGTTTCAAGTCTTAAATTTATTGATCGTTTTTCCACATTAAGTAATCGAACCTAACTCACGGCTGTAGTGTATTTTCCCCTTTGATGCTGTCGTAGTGCGATTAGTAAGAATGCCTCTAACAACAGTAACAGAAACTAATACCACAATCAAGAGTTTACCAAATAAATGCTAAATGTACGTACCCTCTCTAAAAGCCAGATTCTTTACAATTTCGTCATCTCCTTCTAGTGTCCATTCCACCCGTCCACTCTCGGTTGTAACAATGTGAGTTGCTATGGTGATGGTGTCAATCACTAAATCACAGTCAGTGAAATCCATCTGCCACGCAACCAAGCCTGATGGCGAGCCCGGAAGTCGTGCAATGTATGCCTGGACAAAAAAAAAATTAAAAAATTAAAAAATTCACACCCCGACTGCTCTTAATGAACAGCTCTTAAAGTTAATTCTAAAAATTTGGTGGTACAACGAGGCAATTATTCCCTTACAAGCAGCTGATTCTATTTTACTCACATCAGCTTTTTCCTAGAAAGTTAAAAGGAGAAAATAGGGTCAATCACTTGTGGGAATACACTTAGCTCGTTATTAATAATTGTAGTATATTAGTCATTTTTTATTCAAACCAATTGGCTCAAACCAATTGTGTTTGAAATTCGTACTGTTGAGCAACTGGCTCAAATAAGTTACTTCCTAATTGCAGTGACATCAGCTATTTTCATTCAAACCAATTGTAATTTTTGACGACAATATTTTTAATGTTTTTTGTTTTTAATTATGCATAAACATACTTTGTAACTAAGGTATGAAGTCTATGCAGATCCTCTCGAGAAACGTAATAAACCTTTTTATATTGTATTGCACTTGTTGTTTTAATGTAGAACCAGATGCCGACAACTATTATTTTGAAATTTCTTTAAATCACTTGAATCACGAATACCAACTTCTGTTTCCAGTTAAGGGAGACTGCTCAAGGAGGGTTGGATGCACTTAACATCGGCTTCCCCGAGGGAGAAGGGGACCCGCGCTGAAGTGGAAACTTTGCTAATTTTGAACAATGCAACTGAAAGTTCTAGTTTGTCCCTAGAGGAAGGGGGGTGGGGGCGGGGGGGGGGGAGGTGGGAGCTTCTAGTATCTGAGGAAGGCAAACACCCTCACCGTATTCATATTGTCATGTCACACGTACCTTAACCTCATCAGTGGTCAAACAAATAAATTCAAAAATATTCTTTAGCAAACCGAAATTTCGAACCCACCTCGCTGCTTACGCGAAAATAAACACTGCGTAGCCACATATACACGTTGTGTACCTTTTGATTTCTGTCACGCAGCTCACGTTAATTTTTTAACCCCCTACTGTACAGCTTGTACTAGTAGCGACTGCATCGCCTGGGGACGCGAACATGGCTTCAAAAATTGTGCTTGTCACTGGCTGCTCTACTGGAATAGGATTATCTGCAGCTCTTTTACTGGCCAATGATAAAAATAAGCGTTTTAAAGTTTATGCAACGATGCGAAATCTTGAAAAGAAGGGCCCACTCGAAGAGCAAGGGAAAAGTGTCCTTGGAGACACCCTGATCATTAAAGCCATGGACGTTTGTTCGGATGAGTCCGTGAACGCAGTTGTGGAAGAGTTATTAGCTGATCATCAGAGAATTGATGTAGTCAGTAAGTCAGATTTTCTTTATCTGTTTTTTGTACGAGCCTTAAGGCCTTCATTTTTTAGCGAGGAGTGTCGTGCTGTGCCGCAGCAAAATCCTCGCTCGACAATTAAAAGCCGGTGAACCTATTTGTACGGATTTACATGTTCCTCGCTTGAGTAGCCTTGGTGCCGACGATTCTATGTCTCGCTTACTTTTGAATGAAACTATCGGAATTCGAGAGTGTAAATGGGAAAAAGGCAAAGACGCTTGTAATATTTGTAGTTTGTAATATTCGTTTCTTATGTTTCAATGTTGGGGTCCATTTACAACTATGCTAATACATTCAAATTGATGGTTGGCTTTACACGTCAGTCACGTAATCTACAGCTTCTTACTAACAGTGACTCCAACAAAAGACAAGCGAGCGAAAATACGTTCTGGAGGTTAGGGAAGATGGCATGGGGATTCGGACCGAAACTTCCAGTTCATTAATCAGGGAACAAATGCAAATATCACGGCTAACCCCCACAGCTACTAAGTTGATAGACTGCTTCGTAAACATTAGCATACCTCTTTCACAACGCAGCAAGCATCGCCATACCCCCACCCTTCCTCCTTGTGGTTACCTTAAAGTGGTTTGCTAAAATTGTGACTAGGTATTGCTGAGGGAAACTGATCATTGTTAGAATTTTGTGCCCAAATGTCAGAGTTATCCTAGTAACTTATATTTAGAGTATTAAATCAACAAGTGTTTCAAGAAATGTTGTCAACCATCCTCCATTTTTTACCCGAGATGATGTCATTTCTACATTTAAGAAATGTTGTTTCGGAAATAATCATTAGAGTAACATCATTAATATAACTACTGTGATTATTATTTCCAGTCAACAATGCAGGAATAGGTATGTCTGGTGCACTTGAGACTCAAACAATGGATATGACAAGGAAAGTGTTTGAGACCAACTTTTTTGGAGTGTTGCGCCTCACCAAAGCTGTACTTCCAAGCATGAAATCTAACAAAGATGGGCACATCATGTGCGTAACAAGCATGGGAGGTATCTTTGGAACACCCTTTAACAGTGTTTACTGTTCGTCAAAGTTTGCAGTGGAAGGTCTTATTGAGTCACTAGCTCCAATGCTCAGGATGTTTAATGTGAGGTAGGCAGTATAATTATGGTGCTGTACTATGGATAAGTGATACTTGCATCTGAAAATAGCATGGAAAATTACAACTACATTGTTTATTAAATAATAAGTCTGGCTTCTGGGCAAATAAAGTGTGTATTTAAAATCTGGGGGGTACTCCCAAAAAAGGTGGGTGGTGTGTGCATAGTAAATATAGGGAAATTGTTAGGAAACCTGGCAAAGTTCTTTGTTTTATGTTCTTGTTTGCTATTTTGGACATTGACCTTGCACAAATCCTGTGCTCATACAACTAACCAAGAGCAGCAAAATGATTATGTAATTCGCGCTTAGTCTTTGGGCAGAAAACTAAGGATGTGCAGGGTCATGGACCTTCCAACATAAATCTTAGCCCACTACATTGATGTTTACTGGCCTTCCTAACCATTTCTCTCTATTAATTATGGTGTGTGCAGTCCACATCTCAAAACCCTTACCCTATTTAAGCCAAAATCTGTGATTTTCCCCTACCCTATTTATGACCTGACCAAAAAATTGATTGCCAGGGACAGATCAAGGGGGAGGGTCCAGGTGCCCTCCCCCCGCCCCCCGGGATGAAACCTTCTTCTTCTTACTCACTTTTAAAATTTGTTTATCTCACCAGTCAGCTACACCATTCCTTAGTGGTGCACCTCTTCCTACGAAAAACCCTGGATCTGCCCATTTTAATTTAGGACCTGACTGGTTGATTAACACCCTGTTTCAGACCTGCCCTATAATTATTAGTTTCCTAGTTCAGACTGATGCTAGAGGCATTGTGAAGGGCTTTTGTTGACGGTCTTATTAATTAGCTTTTTCTATAAAACATACTCAATTCAAGACTTGAGTGCAAAAACCATACCCTATTTGAGACCAAAATTACCAAATGGATACCCACTTTCTGAGCAAAATAGCTGAAAAACCATATCGTTTGGGCCACACATACATATATAGCCCATATAAGGGAGTACCCCCAAGATTAAGATGAGGTTGAATTTTAAAATCTACCTTAAGTTGACATCAGCTGATCCATCTACTGATTCATGGCTTCATGACTCCAGTAAAGCATAAAATATTTATACCACTGTACAGTTGTCACCCATCCACATCTCTATGATTCTTTTTGAAATCCTCCTGATTGCCACCACAAAATTGTACTTTATGCTCAAACATCAACATGATGCTAATATATTTCAGACTTTCAACTAAACATTTGACCAGGATTATGCCTGACTCTTCAGGGCCATAGCCAAAAAATTTATTATTGTGACTGAGGCAGTGCCTGTTGTTAAATTCTCTTCCTAGGTATTAAGGGTGTTTTTGATGACTCAAAAATAAACAAACAAAACATGACTGAGGCAAAGTGCCTCGGCTGGCCTGCCTGCTCTTCTAGAATTGAAATGTCCAGCTGTCAGAATCCAACACAAGCCAGAGACCTGACTAGGGCTTGAACCTAGACTGCTTGGAATGGTCCAAAGTCTAGCACACCAACCATTAAGCTGCTCCACCTCCCACTAGGGTTTCCTTTTATGGAGGTTCCATTGTATACGGTCCATAATTTGAATTATTATTTTAATCTTTTATTAACAGATGTTCTTTAATTGAACCTGGACCAGTTTCAACTTCTTTTGTTGCCAATTTATCCCACACGGCTACAAGTGACGACAGCCTTTTAGATGAGGAGACAAAACAGCTTTATGACAACTACTCCAAAAAGATGCGAGCTGCCTTCACCACAGTGGTACAGACCCCAGATGAAGTCAGTCAGGTGATCTTAGAGGCATTACTAGCTGACAAGCCTCACTTGAGGTACCAGACTAACAAGAATTATGCAGCAGCCACATCCAGCAAGCTAGCAGACCCAACTGGTGACACATCTGTAGAACTTATGTCCCAGCGTTTCTTCCATTAGATTTCTTGCCAACATGGCGGACATTCTGTATTACATTTCAGATAGGATATCTTTAAAAATATGTCAAAAACTGGTTATTAAGCCACTTCTGGATGAACCATTTTAAATTTCATTATTACTTGTGATAATATTTCTCTTGCAATAATTTGTAGCACCAAACACAGAAGTTGTTTTACTCTTTCTTTCAACTGAGAAGATAACATTAAACACTTGAGACTATTCTTCACTACTCCACTGCAGCTGACTGCACATAGTATTTTCATCTCTCAGTGTGGTAAAACATTGTCTCTCATGTTTGATATACTGCATAATAAATTCATATCACTTTCAGTTTGTCAATCATGCAGCCACAAAAAAATTAAGAGATGAAGAATTTTAATTCTTCACAACTAAATCACTGTTATCTTAAAAGATAACAGTGTTCATGCAGCACACCCTTTTCTCCCAAATATCGCCTTGCTTTACTGGGAACTCAAAATGATTTAGGCCATCACAAATCTAACCTCATTATTTCTCTCTACACAAGGCTTCACATTGGTTACCAACAAAGTTTTCATTGCCCAAGGGTCCCCCACTCAGGGAAGCAGATGACAAGTGCGTTAGGTGATTCTGTCGCACACAAACTGGTCTCGGAGATCTCATAAATTAGGCCAACAAGGTTTCAGATATAGGCCTATTTGAACGCTAAGAACTTGCTTTGGATGATGCTAAAGCTACTAAATACATGCCAATGATTGTCTCAAGGAAACTCCCATATAAAAGTAATGGTGGCATCAGACAATGCCTACTCTCACAGAATATTTGCACATTCGTATTTTAATTATTTTTTTAAAATTCTAATGTGGACCACAATAAGTAAACTAATGTTCCCCCATCAAAGAACTTCATTACATCTCAATTTCCTTTAAGAAGCGATGAATATTAACACCACAAACTCATCACACACTTTTTCCCAACCACTTCCCCCCACCCCTGCCCCCATTACCCCTCATAGTGCAAGATACAAAAATGGAGGGTGCAAAGGGTTCTGTAAGTTGTATTTCTCTTGTGGGAAATAAAAACAATTGCAATTACCAAAGTCAAGCAAAAGACCAGACTACTTTATGGTACATGTATATGAAATGATCCTTTAAGATTGATACAGATTGTAAAAGAATTAGAAGAAAAAATTTGGGATTTACCAAAGATATAGATGATATAGATTTTGTGTATACAGCTGTAGGTCCCTTACACCAGCACGAAAAAGAACAGTCATAAATGTCCCTTCCCTGATGGGCTTTGTTGCTGGGGTTAATTTATTTATTTATGATGGATTAACCACAACCCTCACTACATTTAGAATTTCATGTTGAGTAATTGACCCATTCCACAAATACAACAGTTCTTGTTTATTCAAAACTTTCTCAGATTATTTCGATAATTTTGCCCCCATTTCAAAAGTAACCTAAAGGTATACCTACATTTCCTTTTTGTAACATTAAAAGATCAGCCTCTTCGACTCCACAATGACGAAGGTAGTCACACATCTGCAGTGAAACATGATGAACAGTCTGTCAGCCTCTTCAAGAGCATGCAACTTCAAGAAGCCCATCAAGGGTGTTCATTTGATAAAATATTGCAAAAAAATATATCTGGCATTCTCATGTAATGAGTACCGAGAACTATGTAGCTGAACCCTTTGGACGCATTGTGTGTAAACCCATCAGTCATGTGAAGTCAAGAGAAACTTGACTCTGAAGATGACTTCTTAGAATATTAAAAATTTTGGTCAACAATAACAACAGCTCTTTTGAGTAGTTATCCTCACCTGGATCATCATGTTAAATGAGCTATCCAATATACTTACTATTCTCCAATCATAATCGCATTTTCTGAAAACTGATTGCACGGCAGCAGCTCCAGACTTCCAGCCTTCCAAGACTGCATCCATCTTGTCACCTCTGAGGTATTTATCACTCGCACAACAATACTGCACCCTTAACCTTTAAAAATTAACAGGATCAAAAGTTAAAATCTAATTGATTGAGAGCATTCAATATAAACTAATTTTAAGTTTCAATTTGCTTCTGCTTCAAAACGGATCTTGGCGTAAAACCATCCACATCAAAATGAATTTCACCTGTGCGTGCATTGAGGGTCCACAATAGGGTTCTCAATTCCCGCTTTCCCGCCCATTTTTTCCTGTTCATCCTGCCATTCCGCCCATTTTTGCCTGGAAATCCCAATCCCGTCCACTTTTTAAAGACGTTTCTGCGTTAATTAATAATTTGTTAAATTAATAATTAATTTACTTATTAACACAGAAACTTTTTAAAAATGAAAATCATATAAAAGATTACAAACGAATTCAATGGGTAGCAGTTTCTTTCAGTAAACGGTTTAGATTGTTCATTCCCATATTTAATAGATGGCCCGTAAATACACTTGACAGGTTCTTTCAAAGCTTT